AGTGGGCAATTGTACCAAAAATGGAAGAATATCAAGGACAGTTGGATGCGAGAACAAAGGAGAGATTTGCGCGATCTGACATTACAAAATAAGAAGCTGCCCTAGCCAAAACGACGTCGTTTTGGCTAGGGAATCTTTTTTTTTTTTTTAATTCTTGCATAATGTACCGTTTAAATTTTGATGCACCGGCCGGTACACGAAATTTCGACCGTACGTCGAAATTTGACCAAAATTATCAGATTTTGATCAAAACGAAATTCTAACTTTTTCCATTTCGGTCCACCCCAAAAACTGATACGTATTGGCCATACCAGCCCGTACGAAACAGTACGAACTTCCTTGGTCCCAATTACTTTTGCATTTCATTAAATTTATTTAACTTCGTGCATACATACAACAATGCATATGGTGAAGTTGGTTGCTACTACAATCGGATTCTGGTTCAGTTGTACGCTTCTAAAATATTCCATTATAAAGTAAAGACAAACTTCTTTCAAGATAAAAGGAAAACAAAACTATAATATATGGATGTATAACTTGTGAATTTTTGCAGCTTTGATTTCTCTTGTGCAATACTCCATCTTTTGTCCTCCATTGCTTGATATGATGCAGTGGTATGGATGGAAATTGCAAAGGACATCTTATGCATTTATATAGAGTTCTAACTATATTGGTGGTAGTGTCAATTGTTGGTACACCAACCAGACATTGCTTATTTTGTTATGTAGTGAAAGAGGAAGAAAACTTAAGAGATTGAGCAAAAAATAGCATAGATGCTAATTTAGGAATGAAAATGGCTTAAGTGTAGCTGATTTCCATATTTATGTTGACTAAATTGCAGTTGGAAAACCATCAAATAGTTGATAAAGGTTATGCTAAAGCAATAATTGATCAAGATGAGGTTGCTGTTGCAGCTAATACTAGAGGAACAGCACATGTATTAGTAAATATTGACCCCCTTCATAGTACATTCTTTATTGGATGCTAAGATATGACAATTAACTATAACAGTTCAAGTATTGATTTCAATGTCTGGAAAGATCTTTAGGTGTCACTTCTTGATCTATGCCTCAACCTACCTCTTACAACTTTGAATCAAAATCATGTTAATTATTCTATTATTGAT